AAGCTGAGCTTTTCAGTCTAGCTGACAGAAAAAGGTAAATTTGGAGCAGTAGTTGAAATATACATGTAGTTAGGTTTTTCCAACGGTGGTCGGCCGACCACCGTTGGAAATGTATACAAAAATACCATTTTCTTGAAAATGACTTCACACCAGGTGCCATAATTTTACAGGATGCTTTAGACTGTCATTTACCAACATCCTATTAAGGTATTTCTTAAAAACTTGGTAGTTTTATTTTTCGATGTTTGCAAATGTTGTATATTCCCTTTAACACGTGTAATGAAAGAACACTAAACAGATTTAAACCGACCAATTAGATTTTATCGATCGTACATGAGCTCAAAGGATTCTGCTGGTAATTGTGACAATTTGAGACCAATCTTAAATGGCACACGATTGAGCGACGGAAGACATTTTTTTGTTTTAATTACAGCGGATTATATTTACTTTACAATGTACGATGTACACTGCAGCCAAAATATTCGGAGGGCTAGAAAGTTTATGAGAATAAAATAAAGAAACAAGCGCTGTTCAGATTTACATGTATACATGGTATAGCTCATGTCTCTATTTATTCTCTGTCCATCTATTTGGGTTTTTAAAATATCTTCTTACGTAATGGTCAAGCAGAGAAGACCTTTATTTCCACATCATTCTTTTACTGATGTTGCAATTATAAATGTCATCTTATGGCAATAGTTGGGCTAAATATTCTTTTTTTTTCAAAATTGATTTGATGTATCTGCAATAACAAGTAGTAAGCCTCATTCTAATCTAGCTTGATTAAAAACGAAATCTGATCTGTTGCAACATTTGTCACTGCATGTTTCCTAGAAGAGTTGAACAAATAACAACAATAATACTATCAATGAAAATGCTCTGATAGACTCTGATAAAATTATTTTTTAAAGTTATTTTAAACTTTGAACACACATGGCCTCATTTTTTTACAGCAGGTTATTTGTTCTACAGAACGATATTTCAATTGCACAACCAAACCTCCCTTTGGTTAAATATCAACCAGTATGACAAGAATTTTGTTACCACTTGTTCTAAGTACACAACTCATGCAGCTATTTCCAAAACAAAATTAAGAAATCAAGATTGCATTACAAATTGCATTAAAAAAATTCAGTACACGTACTTGTAAACACTCTCTGCGCATCACATTAATTTTCAGGGTATTTCCCCCCTAATTTAGTCATGAAATGAAAATAATGAAATACATGTATCAGTCCTTCTGATTTGAGGCGTGCGATCACACCCCCACACCACGGCACACCTAAAAGCTTCCCGAGAAGTGTGAATAATTGCACGCCTGAATTTCCCTGGACCACAGATCACACACCTAGACAATCACACACCTGGAAAAAACACACGCCTAGAAAAATCCAGGTATGTCTTTTTCCACACACCTGTGATTTTCAAATCGGAAGGACTGATGTATTTAAACATTTGCTGATTATTGATACACAGAATCAAGATTTTGGGGAATATCTCCACAAATTCGATTCTACAATGCATTATTTAAATGCAAATTTCATAAATACATCTGCAAGCTCTTTTAAAAGTCTACTCAAGTTTCTTGGATTTATCTACAAGCTGTCGCTTGGCAATGTTCTCAAAGAAAAGAAACGTAAAGTGCATCTGCAAGATATCACCCAGCAGCTTGGAGATGAAATGGCCACTGACCTCGGTGAAGTATTCACTGTAGTGGGGCAGGTGGAGATCCATGAGCTTGAAGACTATGAAATTGGCAAAGGTCAGGCAGCACATGAAGAAGGCAAAGTTGTTGCCCTTGCAAGGGAACCTGAAGAAGGTGCTGAAGCTGACATTGATGGCCTGGGCCGAGTGGATGAGCAGCGCGACCTCGAAGCCCAGGTCGGTGAAGAAGACCAGGTTGTAGCTGAGGAGGGAGGAGAGCATGAAGAGGGCTGCCAGGTCCCGATTCCAGCCCACCGTCAGCGACTTGCACCACAGGATCACCCAGGTGAAGAACGGCAGCGTCACCCACTGGTCCACGACGGCGCTCTCGTGGGTCTGGCTCATGATGCGCCAAAACTGGATGGGCCCGTACAGGATGCCCATCCAGCAGAGCGTGCACGCAAAATACGCGTGGAGTTGCCCCACGGCCCCTTTCTTCTCTTCCCGGTAGGTTCGCACCATCCAGTACAGGCCCACTAGGATATACCCGGCGTTTACCAGAGCGTTGAGCGGCATGGCCAATCCCAGCCAAGCGGGCAGTTTAAACGGGCCAATGGCGTGGTCTGCCTCTTCACCGTAGTGCTCAAACCCGAGGTCCACCTTGACTGGCTGGAAGACCCCTTGGAAGACTATGATGACCATGAGTGCCGTACAGGCAGCCACGGGAAGGAAAGTCTTCAAGACCAGCATCTTGGCAAAAGTAGTTACCTGCGAGTACAACAGAAACGTCGGTGTCATAATGACTTTCTGTGAAGATGTTAGAATAGATCGTCCAAACAAACTGAGAAAGGATATTGGAAAAACCTATCCTCACGACAGACCTTAGTTGATTGTCCAGCACTGCAGAAGGCATACAATGAATGGAAAATGGCAACCAGACGCTACTTTCGAAACAGAAAAAAAGACAATTTCCTTTGCGTATTCTGTACCTCAGAGAATACACTTTCATGTGAGAACTGTAAGGAATATGCTGATAAAGTCTTTAAGAAATATTTGTAGGCGAACGTGTGACCAACTTAGTAAATTTGTACTGTCACGTGACGGTTGAGGGCGTCAACATGCAGGGACATGCAAACAATCACTAAGTTGGCCACACATTCGCCTACAAATCTCTTTTAAATTAAAGACTTTGTCAACATATATCTCTGACCATGCTGACTGAGGTACGGTACGCGTGCGAATCAAACATTTATTTTTCTGTTTAGAAAGTAGCGTCAGGCATGTCAGGATGCAACATTCTTTCCCAATAAATAAATAAAAATTCAACTTCAAAACACATTTAAAGCACATTTCCTGCAGGTGTGCTATTTTGTGCTCAACCTAGTTACTAGTTAAGCATAACGCAAGGTGTACGTCCCATAGTGCAACTGGTGAAGGTAAAAACCGGGATGAAAAAAGACACAATTTACAGCTTGCAATTTACATAACTTGGTAAACCAGTGCTTACTTTTATTCGACAAGCTGAATCTGCGTGAAAAGGTACTTGCAATAGTTCCAAACAACACCAATTAACTGGAAGTTTACACCTTTAAAAAGTCATAGTATGAAAATGTGCACCAACTCGCTCAGCGGCTGTTTTCCAATCTTTTTGTCTCGTTGTAAATTAGCGCCCTCTGCTGGCGAAATATGAGTAAGGACAGTGATTCGCTCGTATCGCCCCGCCAGCCCTGCAAATTAAACAGGGCGCTGGGTTCGCTCATACCCCCCCCCCCCCCTATGTGTAATCGTTGTTGTATTATGTACATAAAAAAAAGGCAAGGCCCGCGACCAAAAACTGGTTTCGTAAAGATCCCGTAAATAAAAATAGCTGCTTTCGAGAGTAAAGAAAACTGCTCTTGGGGAAAAAAATGCTCTTTAATAAAAAGGGCTCTGGCAAAAAAAATGCTTTAAAAAAAGTGCCGTGTAAAACAATATATAACTGCTCTCGAAAATGAAAATTCCTATCTTTTATTATAGATCATCCCTGCTTGAATAACATTGAAATATCTAGATCGGATCACGTCAGCTGAGGTCTTGTGCCTTCAGTGTCCGAAAGCACTTTCCTTCCAAATCGGGCTGATAACAACCTCGTCCCCAGTGCTTCCTTTATTTCCAACCGCGTTTCCAGTAAGCCCTGGATAGGAAACTTTCTTCCTGTGTCCTGATTCGATGCCGCAATTGGATGGAAATGGATTGATATCGTGTACTTGGTGCTGTTAATCAAAATGTGCAGTACGTGTTTTTGCAATCATTCGTCCACGCCTCTCGAAAATTCTCATTTCCTTTCCCAGTTTGTTCATATTAATATGAAATGTGATACTGCATGTTTTTTCGATAAGATTGTAACAATGTAATTAAATAAATCGTGTTTTCGTAACTCACGCCATATGCTCGCGCTGCGACGAATTGACTCTGTTTTTACCCCAGACACCGCATACAAAAGCAAGCGCTAATGTAACGCACATGCAGGCACCAGACTATATTCTTCACTTTACATACGTGTTCAAAAATCTTGCACATGCAAATGATCCAATACCAGGGTGAGAGAGCAGGTAGTGATGGACGCGTACTGCCCGACACCCTGGGGACGAGGTTGGGCTGATAATAATAAGCATGCATTGACGTTAACGTCTCCTCGATCGTGTCACCAGGTCAACTTAGCCATTCAATGTTTGTCATGGAAGTAAATAACCCGCATATTTCAGCAAGGTTCTAGGGAGGCGGGTCCATGCGCCATGTATCGGCCGACCAACTTTGGAAAAAAAACAGTTTTTCTTGAAAATGTCAGCCCACCAGGAGCCACGATTTTAAAGGATGTTTTAGACTGTCATTCCCTAACAATTTAGTAAGGTATTTCGTGATAATTTGACCATTTCGTTTTTTTGATGTTTGCAAATGTTGTATTTTCCCTTTAAGCGGATCTGCCCAATAACGAGGCAGCGGCAATAAATTTTCCCCGACACATACGGTTAACTATTTTTGTTGCCCACTTCTTCCGTAAATTATTCTCAACTTTGAAGACTCTTTTAAAGTTGTATCTAACTATTGCATTTGCCGAACAACGTCAATTAGCCAATAAACATGGGGAAACATTGACCAACTGTTACAGTTTTGTGGTTTAAATTTACCCAACGAATCATTTGCCCTATATTTTTACAGTTGGCAGTTTCGGGCACGTCTCCCCCCCCCCCCCCATCCAAAAATAAATGACCTTGCCTCTGGTACCAGTATAAAACAACGGAAGATCCGTCATGCATTCATAATAAACTTGTATAAAAAAGAACAAGTGTAAAATAAAAAAGAACAAGTGTGGAACTTACATGCAGTAAGAATGTTATTACAAGGTGACAGAGTTTTGATTGTTTCAGTGACGCAGTGAAGTTAACTCGTGTCGCACTGACCATTCGACTTTAGTTGCCCTCTGGTGAAACAGCCAAACATTTTCAGCAATGTGGATCAAACAGTTGGTCTCTGGAATTGTCCTTTTCCGCCTTCTCCTCTTGGCAGTTGTCGAACGCCCGGACCGGCAGTGGGTGGTGTTTGCAGACGACACTGGTATGTAGCTTACGTGTTTGGGGAGTCAGGGGATCAGGTTGGCGTAGCGGTACTTTCCACGCCTTCCACCGCTGTGACCCGAGTTCAAATCCCACCTGGGCCAATATGTGAATGGGGTTTTCAGTCAATGCGTTGTCAGTCCCTACAAGATTCCAAATTGATGATTCAGAACATTCCTCTGGGGTTTTCCTCCCACCTGTAAAACTGTAACTGTCATTGTCTTCTCTCTACGGGTTTCTTCCGGCTTGCGAGATGCACAATCCTTGGTTTCTTTAAGACTATACTAATAGCATACATTCTGATGATTTTTTGGGTTTGAAGGCCTACATGTTGCTCTTTTCACAGAAATATTTTCGAGACAAAATTATCACAGTAAATAATGTTGTTGGTTTTTTTTCGAAAAAAGTGGAATGATCGCCCATAAAGAAAGTACTAAGCATTTATTGTTTTACTTCGAAAATTTCAGTTAGAGACATCATATTTCATTCGTATTATCCCACACACTTAACCGACGGATCGCATTATCATCGAAAAGCATTATTGATTTTAAGAAAAAAAAACATCCCGGACTTTCGAGACAAAATTATCACGGTGAATCCGAGTAGCACGTTGTCACTTTGAAAAGAAAATGTAGGCGAGTTTCAACGATCTGTCAATTGACCGATTTGACACAGAGTGTCATGGACACAATCGTGTTCCGTGATCGAAATCGATGTGCATGGTTTTTCATTGTTTTCTCGAAACGTGTATCCACTGAGTTGAAATTTCAACAGGTTAGGTTTTGATCTACACCCGAACCCAAACCAGATAGCCTATCAGACCCAAGTTTCGCTTCTTGTTAACTGTTAGTGATACATATGACTTTCTCTTTTGCCTTTATTGCTATATAGTGTTCAAATGTGTACCTCGATTTGACTCGAGCTAAGTATTTGACTCGACTCGACAACATACACACTGTGACCCGACTCAACTTGACTCGACCTGCTTGACTTAATGAATCGACTCGACTCGAGTCACTTCTTTAAAATGACTCGACTCGACTCCAGTCACAAACAACTCAGTGACTTTTCAGTGACTTCCGGGTGATGCAAAGAGTAATAGACGCGTTAATTTGGGGCGTAAAATTGACTAATGAGTTCATCTCGAAGCAAAAATAATGCCGAACTTAAGTGTGCACATCTTTATTATCTCGAAACGTTTCTTCCCAGATTTCAACAAGACTTTCCATCAGTTAGAGGTCCGTCTCACCGGGGGCCGCTACCCGAACGAGGGCCTCTTGGAGCTCCGCTGGCCACCCGCTCAGCCGGACTGGGGGACCTACTGCACGGACATCGAGGAGCCGTTCAAGGTGGGCCATGTGGCATGCCTGGCACTCGGCTATCAGGCCGCTTACTCGGTGCGGGCCACGGCACCTTTCGCTCTGAACACCGGCCCGATATGGTTTCGGGGCATACACTGCGGTAAGGAGGTGCTACAAGACCATGGAAGGTTGGAGGACTGCACTCTGCAACCCTGGCACCTGGGCAATGCTTCATGCGACCACAGTTGGGACGTGGGTTTGGTATGCTACACAGGTAGGCACTGCAGTCTTCTGACGATGACTTGAGCAGGCTAGTCGAAACGTTGAGACCAAAGACAAGTTCTCTTATCGTTTTTTACCGAAACGATACTATATGAATCATTTTAAAGCTTGTCAAGAATGACATGCAAAAATAATAGTAGGGGAAGATTGGTCGTCATAAGGCAATCGTTAGACATCCACCTGTGATATAGTCTTGGTCCAAATCTGGATTCCTGATATTCAAATATGCGCGGAATTTGTTTAGTCTGAGTATCAACCGTTGTCCAACGGAGCTATAGCTCCGAAACCAACGTCTGATATTGTGCGTGCAAATTTTATGCGACCCCGCGCGCCAGCCAATCGGAGTCGACTTTAGAATGGACCGATCCAGTAAGCCCCTCCCACTGCGCACGTGGGCAAATTAACACGTGCTCCTCTCCAATGCCACACTGCATTTTCCTGCCGCGGGCATCATACGCGCGTGCACGCATGTCGGACTTTTGTGCACGCATGTCGGACATAAATCACGGCTGTGATTGGTCAGAATACCATGGGGCGGTGCTTACTGGATCGGTTTATTGTGACGTAATTTCGACCAGAAATGTGGACTAAGCTGTTGGCTGGTCAATTTGACTGCCATCTTTGTGGATAAATACAACAACACGTTACGGAAGACCCTGTAGAAGGCGCCCGCTGAATGGTCAGAATCTCGAGGTCAAGACACAGTTGTTTTGCATAATTAATCGCTGAATCTGCTCGCATATCATAGACGCTTGCTGTGCGTGCGGCTATTCCATAACGTAAGAATTTGTCGGGTCTGATTACAACAATTCCCGAATGGTGGATTTGATTCATGCAGGTGATAGCAATCTCTTTCAAAATTTCGTGACATTTGTCTTCGATATTAGTACTTCTCTTGACACAAAATGGTTAAAAAGGCAATGCATTTATAAAAATCACCCTGAATACTTCAATAGTGTCAGTTCTAGTTTTGAAAAAAAGTAAACAATTGGAACAAAATCACGAGAAACGATTTTGCTCCACACAAAAAGTTGTCTTAGCGCCTTCTAACGGGGAATTTAGATGCCGAAATTTATTTGATGAAAAATGACCCCAAAAATGTTTGTACCAAATTTTAACCCTGCGAGACACGGCCTACAGCCACAAATACTGTTTTTGGCCCCCCCCCCCAAAAAAAGAGAGAAAAATATACAAAGCCCTTATGTGGTCAAAGCAGGTCAACCGAATGACGTCAGAGTGTAGATTGGTGGTCAACCAACATTCCTGCCAAATTTGAGGAAAATCTGCCCTCGCATATGGAAATAAGAATTGAGGGGGTGTGTGTGTGTGTGGGGGGGGGGGGGGGGGGCCGAGACACACAATGTGCCCTGGTCTTGAGAAGACCTGGAATACCCCCTGTCCTGATACCATCTGTGCCTGGAGATTTATTACTTTTAAACTGAAAAAACAATGCCATCAATTTCTGTTTGTGTTATTGGATTAAAGAACCCGTCGCTGGAGATTGGGACCGGCTAAATTCGGAAACAATCTGTTGCCTTTTGTGCCAAGACAATCTTGTGTTGTGGTTTGCACGATTACAAAACTGTTACTCAGTATATCCTGCTATTTTTCACATTGCAGACTGTAACATTGCCACATTACGTCACTCAAAGCTGTAAATGTCCCTGGCATGAAAAATAACTCTTTTGTTAGTTTTTTACTGTCAAAGGTGTGTCTTATCGTAAAATCAACAGGCGATGTCCGACTCGCGGATGGCAACTCGACTAACGAGGGTCGAATCGAGCTCCACATCGGCGGCGACCAATGGTTGTCTCTGTACGGCGCTTCGTCGTCGTCAGACACAATAATGTCCGATGTGGCGTGCCGGTACCTGGGGTACCCCTTTGCCGTCGGTTCGTCCTCCGAGCAAGTCGACCGGGAGAGCGTGCTGTGTGGGCACGGCTTCTGCTGGGGATCGGAGGGCTCACCGGTCGATTGTCAGTACGACAGCAAGGCCGTGCCATGTGCGGACCTAGACTTCATCGAAAACCCTACGTCTATACGAGCTTTGTGCGCCCTCGGTGAATATTCATTTACATAGGCCGAGATAATTTATGTTTGGTTTTGTAAAATGTTTAATTCTAGTTATTTTCTCAGTTATTGGAGCAGGGGCGGTGGAAGCGAGATGTCAGGAGAAAGACTCCTCCACTTTCGAACAGAACATTTTTGCACCTATTCAGTTGAAGTTTCAACGAGATTAAATTAATATTTCAATAATATCTCCGCCAATGCACCGCCCAACAGAAGCATCCCATTCCAGCAACATGGTGACAAAGGAAACCTTCCGATTATCTCTACGTTATGTTGATTATAACACAATGACGGATTATTACTAGTCTACGTTATGTTGCACCAACCTCACCTTTCTGCTTCACATGTTAAGTGAATATCTTGGAATCAATTCGGGCGATTCACAATGCAGTGCGCCACCAAAAGTTTGCCATGAAGAGTCCATTTCTCAAGTCTACGGTCGACAAAACACGGCCCATTTGAATGAGTGTCAGTAGACAACTTGAGCTAATTCTTTATAGATTGGAGCATACCATTCTCCCACCTTACAAAAAAACACCATATAATAAAAGGAAAAGAAAAGGGCAAACATATTCTCGAATCATACGCTAAGGAAACTACTGAGCGGAAAAAGTAACATTTTCAAACGTCCCGCGCTGCGAATTTGTCGACCATCTCCCACAATGCAATGGGAAAAAATTAACTCTCCATGGCAAACTCTTGGCGGCGCACTGCATTGTGAATCGCCCGAATTGGTTCCTCTGGTCTTCAACTTCGTCAGAAGATTGTTTTGTCATAACCAGCGTTGTATCGATTCCACACAAAAAAACCTGGGAAGTCCGGTCACAATGCATGCACCAGCGAATGAGGCATGTATTTGTCAGATCATTTGCGAATTGACTCCTACTCGGGACTGGATGACTCAAGATTGAGTCGTGATGGAATTGTGAGGAATCTGTGTGGTAGACTCGACTATAGTATACTTGCTCTCAACCTTTTCAAACTGTTCAGAATCTGACGTGGTCCCGAACGAGGACGTGCTTGAGTTCCGACTGGTGGGCAGTGCCGACAATCACTCTGGTCTGGTACAGGTCCGGGACACAACGCTGGCGGACGACGGCTGGCGCATGCTTTGCAATGAGAATCTTTTTTTTTTCATCGTGGACGAGCCTGTTGCGAGACTCGGAGACCTCATTTGTAAACAGCTAGGTACGTGAGAGTGATTTGATGCTTTGCATGGTGGTTAGCACAACTTGTGTGAAAATTGAGAATACACCATGATTGTGCATGCAGTTATGTCATCCTCTCTAACCAATGTCTCGGCTTGCTCCAGCACGTTTGTTTATTGTTGAAATCGAGGATTTTCTTTTGTTCCTCTTCCCTTTTCCTTTGTTTGTACTCTAGCTTTTACGCAACGGCTACCATTGGTTTTGTTCACGTTTTCCAACCGAGGAGTCCTCGATTCAGTTTCTTAGCTCAATTCACCGATGATGTTGCACGTGTGTGTCTTCGATTTACACCTTAAACAAACGCGCGTAATTCGGACAAGACGACCCTGGTAAACCGAGTAAGAATAAACGAAGATACATAACTTTCTTACAACTTTTCGAACCTGCCTGATTTGAAGCCGTTATTCTTTTGTTCACAAAGGGTTTCCGTGGTCATATGACACCGAGTCGGTCGCCCTGGCGGACGTACGGGTCCTCTATCGAGCTCACTGGAATGACACCAGGGGTGCAGAGCTGCTGCGACGCCGCGTCATCAAGGAGGATGTTGATGGTTCCAGGCCAGAAACTGAAGACCTTTTCAGTTGGAAATGGGTGCGGACGGAAAATGTATGTGAACAGCACGGCTATCCGGGTCTGCGAGTGACGTGCGCAACAGGTAATTTGTTTTGATTCTGCACTTTAGCCGTGATGTATTTTTTCAGTAGTGTGAGTAACCTTAAATGAGTAAATGGAACATGTTTGATCTCTTAAAATGTTCCTCCGACCGAACACGTAACAAAATAGTTAACGTTGATTTCCCCATTATCTTCCAAGTACCTTAATTAATGCGTATACATGCATAGACAACGTGAAGCAGAATAGTACATGGTGAATATAGAGAGAAAATGCATGCATGCTGTTAACAAGGTTACTGAATGCTCTATGGTCTCTGATGAGTGTCACTTCATTTGTTTTTTTCTAGGTGTGGAACTTTATGGCGAACGAGTTTACCCTTGCCCTCAGCAGACATGCAACCAGCGTTGCGGGACCACAGAAGTAGCTGGTTTGTGTGGATGTGATTCCGCATGCACGCTTTGCAACGACTGTTGTCCCGATTACACTTCGATATGCGCTCCAGATGGCGCACTGCCTTATCCGCCCAATTTCCCCTTGGCCTGTCGGGTCTCGTCTGCCAACCAACGCGAATATATAATCCAGAGGTGCGGGTGGGATTGGGCTGACGATGACGTCAGGAACAGATGTGAAGGGGATTCCCCCGTCGACCTGGTGTACCATGTACCGGATGTATCATCCCATCCACCTCTTTTCAGAAACAGGGAATGTGCCCAGTGCCACTACATCAACACAACATCAGCTAACATGGTTGACTACGAGACATACAAGAACACGACGGTACCTCCTTACTGGACTCCGCCACTGATAGGTGCTTGCCCGAGTGGCTATAATGGATCAACTGAGCTTTGGGAGGGTTGCGCTGGTTATTCCGCGAGCCTCACCATCAACGGATCTTGGTACAAGAATCCCCACTGCGCCCTTTGTAACGGAGAAGACCTCACGAGTCTCGACTACTGCTACCGAGAGTACGGGATTGTCGCTCCTGCAAGTCTTGAGATTATCTTAGGCCGGGATTCAGACGCTTGGTTTCCTTCTCCGTCGCTAGAAATTCACCTTGGGGACTCAGTTTGTTGCCTGCGTAAAGAATACCACCTGACCATTGTACCGAAACCCTCTCAATCTAATCTCGCGATCGATCCGAAAGACAGTCTCCCCACGAGAACGTACGAGGCCGCTAGTTGTTTGATACGAGGGATGGCTTGGCAAAGCGTCCCACTGACACTGCCTTTCATATCAGAGTTGCTCGCCGTGGACGCAGAAGAATTCCCAACAGGAGACGGCACCCTGCGCTCAACATCCCTTGGTAATTTCTCAGACACAAAAGCGCTCCTTCACGGCTTGTTAACTGTAGAAGAAACGTCGGACGAGTCGGTCCAGGACACGTGGGTTGATAAATGCAACTTGGAGGTGGTCGAACTGGCAGAGGTTTGCACTATTGCAAATGTTACCAATGTGAGAACATGTCACCACCAGTGGTTTAGTACCAAAGACGCAGAATTTGTAAGCAACATTTCAATCAGCAACGTTTCGGTTCTGTATTTGGGAAATGGTGTCATTGTTGAACCCTACTATCTTTCCCACGTGCACGTGTACCGGAACACCGATACTGGCAGGTTCTTCAATGAAACAGAAGTGAGGGTTTGTGGTCGGGAACTGGAACAACTGACTTGTCGCTTCCCTCCGGTGAATGATACATTGGTTATTGTGCGAGATGGAACCGTGTATCTCTCATACGCAGGTCGAGAGTTCCTCGAAGGGGAGTTCGTGTCCTTGCCCGATGGGCTCATTCTCATTTGCTCGGATGTGTTCAAAGAAGACGGCCCGTACATCAATCTATCAGAGCCCCTCACTTTGGTCAACTTCCTGGGTTTCGTAATTTCTATGGCAGCTCTCGTGGCCACTTTTGCTACCTACTTGACGTTCTCGGAGCTGAGGAACGTTCCCGGTGCAGCCATCATGAGTCTCTGCGCTGCCTTGTTCGTCGCTCAGCTCCTGTCCGTGACAGCCCTTGGTTCTACTCTAAACAGCTCGGTCTGCGTGACCATTGCTGTTGTCTTGCATTACCTCTGGCTGTCCACTTTTACCTGGCAGACGGTGCTAGCCTGGGACCTCAAGAAAACCTTCGCGTCCAATCGTCCCTCCTTGGGAGCCTCCAAGATGAAGCGCTTCTTCCTTTACTCTGTCTACGGTTGGAGTGCCCCTGTCTTGGTCGTCGGTGTTTTCTTTGCCTACCATCTGTGTGGTGACTGTATGGGTCTGGGGTACCGATACGGCAGCGACAAAGCCTGCTGGATTATTGGTCGGTTTGCGGTGCTGCTAGCCTTTGGGGTCCCGATGATGTCTTCCGTGATCCTGAATGGAGTACTCTTCGCAACTACTGTTTGGGGTGTTCATAAGACCCTGAAGGCAGCCTCCATGGTACATCAAGACAGATCTAAATCTCAGAGGGCTTCCACCGAGTTAGTAATTTATCTGAAGGTAAGGTTTATCTTCCCTTTTTATATTGGAAAGGCAGTAAATTAGGCTGTTTGCAGTAAATTATAGTCATACAATTTGATAACGTTGTGGAGTAGACTAGACACCGACATGCTTTTTGGCTATTTTATCCAGATTTCTTGCGTGATGGGCTTTACTTGGATCTTCGGATGCCTCGCCCAAGTCACGTCATACCGCCCTCTGTGGTTCCTTTTCGCCATCACCAACTCAGCACAGGGCGTCATCATTTTCGTAGTGTATGCGTGCAATGCTCGCGTGAGGGCAATGTGGAGGCAACGACTGCGCAGGACAGAGGCCAAGAAATCTGACTCGGCTGCTCGAACAACTAAGGCGAGCACTCCGGTCACAAAAGGTCACTCCGGAAACAAGAGGGGGCTGTGACGTCAACAGTGTTTAGTGAAGGGCAAAACCTAATATTAATTTGCATTACCCCGACGAAATTCATCTGATGAATAGTTTAATCGCGGTACCCGCTGTACATTGTACATCAGATTCGATCCAGCCAACCGATCCTGCAAGCTCGATGGTCGAGTGGTAAAACGTCTGCACTAGAAAGCAGGAGGTCGTGGTTTCGAGTCCCACGCGGGTGATTTTTTTCCAACTTTCACTCCGGATGTGACACTGAGTATTCAGTGTTTATACGTCGGTAAAGGACACCTGACGTTGATTTACATTTACATCACCCCGACGCAAATTTATCTGATGAATACATCATTATTAATTACAACTTATTGTTATTAGTATTATTATTATTCTGGTTTATTAAAAAAAAACACCATGTGGCAGCCACTGAGCCACAAAATATGTGGTTGATGAGACCGGCTTACAATACGTTTAACATTACTTATAATACATATAAATAAAGAAAGGCTCGTTACAGAAGTACAATTTAAACCGTGAATTATATATTATTAAAACGTTGATCGGATTTAAAAAAAAAAATACTCAGAATTTACCTTAAACATCGTGAGAGGATAGTGGCATTAAAATTGGATTAGGCCTTTTTTGAAAACTAAAGTGATATTAAAATGTGTATGAAAAAGATGTAAATATCAAAGTACAAACAAACCCTGATTATTGAGAACATATACATGTATATTAAAATTATATAAAAACGTGGAAGTTATATGGGTGAGGGGCCCGAGGACACCGTTTTTCTAATTACACAATTCACAGAAACCAAGTCGGTGAGGGGAGCATCGTATTTTTTTCAAAATAAAAACTATAATGCAAAGAAAAAACAGGAAGCATCTATACAGGGTGCGTCAAAAAGAAAGGTACCCAATTTGAAAAATATTGTTAAAATGTTTCGTTTGCTCCATTTTGCACGTACAAAAACAACATGGGATAAAGTATATTTTATTGACTTTTAACGGTGAGCATTTTCGTAATTTGCATACTCTATTCCCAATTATCATCTTTCAATTTCTGTTCAATTTTATGAGGGGTTGTCCAACGATAATTGGTAGAGAATTTCGTCCAAAGATGATCACCCCAACAAGCAGGCCTAGAGCCCATTGCCATTTCGAAAAAGGACGCCTATATACGCTCATTTTTAGGGCCTTCTTTCATCCACATTTCACTGATACGATTTCGTAGTTCTCTGCACGGGCTTCCACTTTTTTTTTAAACCCTCAAGTTTACGGCCCTCAAAACGCTCTTATCCCGGATATCAATTTGCATTCAAATCGCTATTTGGCGGGCGTAGGCAATTGTGAACTACTTGTCTCAGGGTTCGACCTTAACTTTATTTTTCACTAGCCAGTCGGACTACTGAACGGACTCTTAACTAGCCCGCGGACATTTACACTTAGTCCGCATGTTTTTCTTTTATAGAATTTCTCATACACAACAATGTGCATACATATAAAACGTGTATCCTGAGGTAATCTTTGCATGGGTTTTAACAAACAGATCTTATAATTCAAACTAATAAGACACAAACTGATACATGTTTGCTTTCTGAATATAAAGATATATTTCTTCTTGTCCTTTCATCTTTGCCGTATCCCAGTAATGTTTGACTCGCCAGCAGGGCTACATAAGCATTTGGCTAGCGGGCTACGCTATTTAAAGTCGAACCCTGCTTGTGTGCATTTCACTGTTTTTAATACTTGACAATAAAGCATTAAACATCGTGTAAGTTTATATCTTGTAAGTTATTCAGTGTGTTGTCGATGTACAATGGCAAATTACATTTCGATGTACATGTATATGACAAAATGCGATGCGGTTCTTGCGTGCTTCGTTCTGGAAGACTCCCACATGATGATAATTCTTGTACAAATTGTTCCGAATTGAGCTAAGGTCACTCAACTTAAGGTATGCATAATTATTATCAGTTCATTAGCATACTCTCTTTTTACCAACCAATTTTGTACATCATACACAGCAATTAAATACTTTTTTTAAACACTTTCTTGCTAACACTTTGTAAACATGTTTAAATACTAAACATCGGTTAGGCCTAAGGATGGATAGTGTTGGCAATTGAATATTGATGTGTAGGAATTGCACACGTAATGTTAAGCTTCCAAACATTCTAATACAAAGTGATTGCGTTTAATTGCTAAACACATGCAGTTTTTAGAGTGTAGTGAAAATGACTAATGGCTTTTGCCCGTTGGGTTGTGGATAACTTTTAAAAATAATTAGTCTTCATTTCAATTATTGTTTCGTAGATTAAACTAATGTCTGGCAAGCCAATTTGCTGTGAAGAAAATGTATTTTTCTAATTAGCGCTGTAGAAGATGGGTCTGTGCCTTTACCTATAGTCTGTGTATCACCCGTTATCCACGGAGCCAGGTCTCCTGTATAACATCTGATATGTCTTGACATGCAGATAATGCAAGCCGTGCGCCAGCCAATCGGAGTCGATTTTACTAAATCGTGACTTCATTGCATTCCTAAATCTGGACTAAACGGTTTGATTGTTCAATTCGAATGCTGTGTTTTGTAAAACAACAACATCCGGGCGCGGTATCGCGTAACATGATACAGAGCGCGTGTCACTATTTTTTTATAGAGCGCGTGACACTTGAAGATATGACGCGCAACGGGTGAATGACCGAAGACCCGATATAGAAAGCGCTCACTGATTGGTCAAAATCTAGGAGGTCAAGAGGCGGGGTCTTGCATTCGCCGTGGTCTATTACACAGACTATATAGCCTTTACCCTGCAACGATTAAAAATGCGTAGGCCTAATTTAAATATCAACTACGAAAAAAATTAAAGAATCAGCATAAAATAATCGTTTATTAATTTAAAAAAAAACCAATCAAATAAAAAAAATAATGACCCCACAACCGAAGATCAGGTATGTGTGTATGTGCTGCCGTGTGCTCCAGTGCCGGCCCCGCAACTGGCATTGTCGCGGCAAGAATTGTGATTGTTATTGGTTTTTGAGTTGACACACACCTTCCGGGTCGGAGGCAACTAACGTTGCACACGGTTGGTATTGTAACGAAATTGGCCTGAGTGCTTGTAGCTTTCGCGCGTCATAGCGCTGAGGCGTGCCATACTTGCTGAGCATGCGCAGTGGGCTGCTTAGGTGACCTTGAGCTGTTTGCGCGCGCTGTGCCTCGTGTGTGTACGTGGCGGGAGTGGCTGTGGAGCTAGCGGACTGAAGAGACGTGTGACGGCGGAGCTCTAAGAGAGTTGTTGTAGGGCGCTAGGCTTGTGTGCGTCAGCGTTGCTGTTGGTGTGTAGTGGGAGCTGGTAGCAGCGAGGCGGAGCGGTATAGCGACCGACCGCCGGATCCCAGAGCAGCGTGAGAGAGGCTGATCGGAGTGTCCGAGACAGCGGGACTGTTGGAGCCGTGTCAGAGAGTCCGTGGCGGCGGCGGTTTGCCGAATCTAGTTGCAGCAGCTCATAGTGCGGGGTATGTCAAGCTGACGTATTTGATAAAGTTAGTGACGAGCACAGTTCAGGACCGATATTGTTGAACCTCCCCACAAGTTATCACATTCAGTAATAATTTCTATTAAGTGCCTTCAGTAATAAACCTCTCTATCAGTAATTCTAAGGCTCAGTAGGAAACTCGATTATATCCCTTAAGGATACAGGAAACCCTTAAGGAACCTCAAGGCTATACCTTAAGGAACAGCAATCCCTTAAGGAATCTGCAACTTAACTGAAGTGATTAAGGCGTCTTAGTTATAATAAAGGGAAAACCCCGCGGCTCTTGAGTGATCTCTCTTTGTCAGATTATTGGGTTCCTGCGCTGCTCTGCCTGGTATTTATCTCCGCTCCATAGGGTCCCCGGGAAAAAGTGTTGCGCGCGGCGATATATGGTTGCCAAACGACCTCCCCCACAGTGCTGTAGGGCTGCCGCTCGCCTGTGCAGTACCGAGTCAAACTTGACCCGGACGGGATTCGCCACATTGGTGTCAGAAGTGGGATAAGGCGTGACACTTTCAGGAGACTGCATCTGCAGTGATGGATTCTAAATGGATGGAGGAGGAGCTGGATGTTCTGAGGATGGAGGCACACCAGGCCGAAAACATGTACGAGGATGCACTCAAGGAAAAACGGGAACTTGAGGAACAAGTACAGAAAATGAAATCAATCATCGAGGATAAGGAAATAAGCCGGACTGAAACACCGGAACTGTTCACCCCAACTCCTGCTGTCTCAAGCACTTTTAGTTCAATACTAGGGATACCAGGCACACCTGCAAACACTAGACAAACGGAGGAGACATCCTTGGTAACCGCGAAGGAAACTAAGAAAAGTGAGGACAGAATTAGGAAACCGAACATTTGTCCTGACCGGTTCAGTGGAAAAGTGCCATGGAAGGACTATAAGGCACATTTTCAAGCTTGTTGCGTAGCAAATGGATGGAAGGACAGCCAGGCTGCTGTATTCTTAGCGGCCAGCCTTCAGGGACAGGCGTTGAAGGTGCTGGGATGCCAACCAGAGGGGAAGGAACTTTCACTTAAGGATCTTTTGGACAGACTAGATCAACGTTTTGGACCAGGACAACAGGCAGATTTCCATCTAATGGAGCTTCGTCATCGTCGTCAGGGCGAGACTGAAACCCTGCAAGAGCTCGGAGCCAGTGTGAGAGAACTTGCAGCATTGGCGTACCCGGAGTTCTCAGACAAGAGTAGAGAGAGACTGGCGAAGGGACATTTCATGGACGCCGTGAAAGTCAGAGAAATCAGGGAGGGTATTTTCCGTTCAAAGCCTGCCACCCTTGATGATTCGATCAAGGCGGCGTTGCAAACACAGAGTTTCCTGCAGACAGAGGATCGTAGGACTAGCGATAAGGCTAGGAAGTTTGCTAGAGTACTAGAAGGCAAGGACGAAATTACGATGAAGGAACTGAAGGGAGAGATAAGAGAAACACAGGAGTCCATGGGACAAGCCTTTGGAAAAATCCAGTCGATGCTACAGGATATCAGTAAGGGTAGCCAGGAGAAACAAGTGGGTTATGATTCTGGACCGAGATCTGGAAAGGGATGGAAAGGCAGAACACAGGACGTGTGTTACAACTGCAAAGCCTCGGGACATTTTGCTAGGAACT